GTCACTTCTGATGCACAGGGCAGGTGACAATGCCTGGGGAAGACTGTCAGAAGGGATCCACAAAAATCTGGATGCACCCCAGGAATAGGGAGGGAGGGCTTCCCTCAGCTTCCCAATCCTGGCCAGGCTTCCGATCTCCCAGGGAGCTGCTCACAGGGCAGGCTTCCTTCCTGGGCTGGCGCAGGAACACAGGATGGGGCTCACGAATATATCCTTGGATACCGTGCAGCCACACATGCATAAAGACCTATGCTTCTCAGGAGCAGGGTGGGAGCAGATCCTGCTCACCGTTGCTGGTCTTTGCCAAGATACAGACTCTGGGATCCATCCAAGAGTGAAATGGCACTGGCTTAGTGCAACTCAGTGACTGAAAGCTCAGTGGATGCATGTGCATGTGTGCACACGTGCGTATTTGTGTGCATGCATGTGTGTGCACACACATATTCGTGTATGTGCATGTGTGTGCACACATGTGTGCAATGCGGGGGAACAGGGACATAGGAAGGGAGCAAGGCCTGGCAGAAGGAGGAAGCCAGGGAAGTGACACATTAGCTTTTCAAGAGAACCTGACATTCAAAGAGATCATTGCCGCTGGGGACTTTGTGAACCTCGCTGGCTCTCAGTGGATCCCAGGGAGTGTCACTGCGTGCAACTTTTTATGCAAATCCACGCAAACAAGGTCTGGACCCTACTTGCAGTCCTAGGTGGGCTGATTCCATTTCAGGAGCCATGGGGGTGAAACTAATAGGGGTCCCTCCTGAAGGCTGAGCTAAGATGCTGACCAGAACCCCCTGGGCTTATTGGACAGCTCTTGGTGATGGCTTCCTAGTCACTAGAAAATATATAGCTATGGCTTTGGGACACAAATCCAAAATGTCAATTTCTTTTCTGAATTGTTTTTCAGCAGCAAAATTTCTTTCTCTTCCTTTTTTTAATTTGCAGAACTGGGGATTGAACTCAGGCCTTGCACTTGTCAGGGAAGTGGTTATTCTACTGAGCCATCTTCCCGGCCCCCAGCAAAATTTCTTTTTGTCCAAAGGAAGTTTTGAATGGTACCCTGAGACAGAAATGAGAAATAAAGACAGGCCTCTGTGGTCCGCATGAAAGCAGGGCGAGGGCCCGTGGCCCACCGGCTCGGGGCGTGCCTCGACACCCACCATGTCCATGCAGGCAGCAGAGGCTGTTGCATCCTCCACACCGCTTTTTGCTCATCCAGGGCCAGGTGGCATCAGTTGGGCTCAGGGCTGCCCAGGTCGGGGACCAGTTCTTCCTTGAAAAAGGACCCATTGAGAGGCCTTGGCCAGAAGTTCCTGGTTCTGTCACCTCTTCGCTTACCCAGGACACAGGCTCCACGCTCGGACACTTGGAGTTGTGTCACCTAGGCGAGTCGCTGACCTGCTCTCAGGCTCTGCTTCCTCTTCCTCTTCCACCAGATGGTCGTAGCTCCGATTTCACAGGTCTGTGTAAAGAATATTAGGGTAGGAGAAGCAGGTTCCTACACAGCCCGGGAAAGTATGACGGCACCCAGCCACTTGTGCCTGGGGAGAGGGCAGGCCCAAAAATGTATCTTCCCAATTTTTCAAGAAAGAACAGGAAGCCCAACATTTTCATAAAGCTGCCATGTTGTTGGCCTTGCCAAGGAATTCATAGTTTTAAAGCACGGTACAGGTCAAACAAAACCCACCCGCAGAGCCAGGAGCCAGCGAGCGCTGATGCCCGGTGACGGTCACAGCTGCTAGGTGTCGCTTCCTCCACCTCCTCCATTTCCTTTCCCTCCTGCCCATCCTCTGTCTGCTGAGCTCCAAGTTTTCCTTTTGAGAACAGAAAGAGACCTCTGCAAGCCCTCAGCTGAGCCTGTGACCAGGCCTGAGGTACCCTGCCTCATCCACACTCTAGTTTGTTTGCTCTGGGACATTCCCTTTGGCAAAGGGAATGTCTGTGGTGAGTGTGCTGGGCAGCTTCAGAGCGTGCGCCTGAGTGTGTGTGTGGGGGGTGTGTGGAGGGACAAGGCTTCCCAAGCGTCATCTCTACTTCCTGACACTTAAGTTCAAAGCCAGCCTCTCAAGGAGTGATGCTTGAGTCATGCTGAGGAGGACTAAGCATCCTCTCGGAGGGGACTCTCCAGGGCTCTGCTGGGGCCTCGGCAGATACACATCTGGAGCCACCCTGGCTACCTTCCACTTCTTCGCTAGAGTGAGCACATGCATGTGTGTTTGTGTGTACTGTTCATGTGCATGCAGTGTGTTCACATGTACACATGTGTTGATGTGTGTGCACATGTGTGCATATGTACCATGTGTGTTCATGTATATGCACAAAGGCAGATTTGGACACGGACTGGCCTTCTCTTCCATTTTATTTTTATAAACAATACTAGGCTTTTTATACAAATGATGCATACCTGTGGGAAAAAATTTACCTCAGAAAAGTTCAAAGAACACTGAAAAACAAAAAAGAAAAGCAAAGCCAAAAACACATTTAGAAATCTTGCCTCACAGAAAAAAATAATCACCAACTCCTATGGGGTGAATAGCTTCTCAGATGTCCTTTCATATGTAGATAAGCTGATGTAGAAATGCGTATTTAATGTTAGGCAGTCAGGCTCAGAAACTATCCCTGCAGGCAGTCGTGCGATGGCAATCTGCCTTTTCCACCAGAGCCGCGGGTCTGTGCGTTCAGGCTGCTCCGGAAGCGGCAGCAGAATGTCGTGGATGTGCGGTGATCCCTGCACGGGTCTCCTAAGGCGAAGACACGCACGCTCTCCCATCTGGACCCAGAACACAGCGAGTCACTCGCGAGAGCCTCCTGAGTGGCCTTCCTACTCTCTGACCTTTCCAGATCATCCGTCCTCCACCCGCGGGCAGCCCGAGCTGCTTTTAACCACGCCCATGAGACCACATCTGAAAGGGGTCTACAAGCCTTTAAGTCTCTTCCCGTCATTCCTGAAGTCCAGGTCTCTTAGGAGGCTGACAAGACCAATATTTCGTACGATCTTGCCTTGCGTAGCTGGCCTTTTTGCCACCCACGCATCATTGATTTCTGGCCGAGAACCCCTGCGGCAGTTCCCTCTGCCTGATCCTCTGCTCGGCCTTTGATAACTGTCTTTTTTTTCAGCTCGGGCAGCTCTTTCCTGGCACCCTTCCCGCAATCAGTGTAGCTCCTGAGTCACTGTCCCACTATTCTGTTTCCAAATTACAACACTTACTACGAGAAAAATTACTGATTCATTTTCATATGTACTGCCCTCCTAGCCCCACTCGCCAAAGGGGAGGGATCTTGCTCACAGAAAGCGGACCCAATTTTTTAGTAATTATTTGTTAACTGAATGAGCCAACCAACCTCCACACTCTGCAAAATCCAGCACTCTTAAAACCCCTGTGTCCTGCTTTCCCGGACTCTCCCTGCACGCTCCCTTAAAATAACTCTGGTTTCCAAATTGAGCTTCAATGTTTCAGTGTTCCTGTGGTCCTGGAAGATTTCGCCGGATCCCGGTTCAGCCCGTCTCGCTTTCTGGCCGGCTGCTCCTCAGGAGCGCTCCATCTCCTCCCTACCTCTGCCAGGCAGCTCCCTGCACCTTCCTCTCCGCTCCTGTCATCCAGGCTCTGCTGCCCAAGTGTTCCTTCCCTTCCTCGCCTCGCTGACTTGTCCCTGCCACCAAGAGCCTGTCACATTTTGGCTTGCACGAGGATTTATTCTCACCAATGCTTTACCTGTCTCAGGGGCATTAGCATTTTATGTCCTCCAATATTGCCATTCGCCTCACTTGCTTAATCTCTCCTGCTAGATTACACATTCCTTGCTTGCAGAGACTATGGCTTTTCTACCTTTTTAGAGTAATTAACATAGAGAAAGTGTCTTGCATATGTTAGCACTTTTAATCCTCACTGGGACTATATGAGTTAGGAGCTGGAGCTAGCCTCCCTCTATAGAGGAGAGTTTAAAATGCTTCCAAAGGTCATGGGATGAGTAAGTGGCGAAGCTAGGATTCATAGTCCATAGAAGCCCTAACTGTGGGGCTAACGCAGTCAGGCTGTGGCCCAAACCCCTTGCTGTTGTTTTCTGTGTCTTTGTACAGTAGCTTTAGCTCTTCAGCTCCCAAGCCATCAGGGCTTTGAAGTAAGGGGCCTGCGGGGATACTGCTCCTGTGAAGGAGAACAAATCAGAGGACTCAGAATTTGAATTCAAATCCAAGTTTCTGCCTGCAGGCCCTGCTTCTTACTAATAACTCAAGGGTCAGGCTCAGGATCCAGATGGGGAAAGGGTGTGTTCTGCTAAGTTGCTGTACACTGAAATGTTTCTAAAATATTCTTAGGTCTCCCTTCCCCTCCTTATCTGTAATTTTACTCTCTGTGATGCTAATTACTGTGGTCGACTGCAGTTCAAAAATATTAGTGAAAATCTCTAGAAAATAAATGATCCACAAGCTTGAAAAGATGTGCCATTCTGAGTGTCATGATGAAATCTTGACCTTCTCATTGCGTTCTGCCTAGGACACGTCTCATCCCTTGACTGGCGTATCCACATGGTATGCACTGTCCTCCTGGAAGTCACTCTGTAGCAGCCTTGATTAGCAGGTCAAATATCACAGCACTGCGAGCGTTTGTTCAAGAATCTCTCGCTTTACTTCATAATAGCCTCTAAAGCATGCAAGTGGCGATACTGACAATTTGAATATGCAAAAAAGGCATAAAGTCTTTCAAGTGAAAATATAAGATGTTTTCTTTTCTTCTTTTTTATATTTTATTTTATTGAGAAACAAATAGCAATGAGACAGTTTCAAATCAAATTGGTAGGACAGTTTCAATAAACACATTGCATACTGTCTTCCTAGTGGTTATTTGTTGTACAAGATGCAGACATGATATCCTATTTACAAACACTATTAGAACAAATCCCTCTATTCATTGAATTAAGAGAATGTAGCTATATATCAATCCTATTTGAATACACAGATACAAAATGGTCATTAATCTGCATCCCCTTTTTTTGTTTAGTTCCATAAAAATACAGAGCGCTTCATGAATTTGCGTGTCATCCTCGCGCAGGGGCCGTGCTAATCTTCTCTGTATTGTTCCAATTTTAGTATATGTGCTGCCGAAGCAAGCACTAAGATGTTTTCAAGAGGAGACTACATTTATATAAGTTGTATTACAGTATATTGTTATGTCTGTCCTATTTTATTAGTAGTTATTGTAAATCTCTTAATGTACCTAGTTCATAAATTAAGCCTTATTACAAGAATGTATGTATAGGGAACAAACAATATGTGTAGAGTTTAGTACCGGGCGCCACTCAGACACCCACTGGGAGACCATGGGACGCGTCCCCTGTGGCTAAGGAAGAATGCTGTACCATCACTTGGTCGCCCATGCTCCTGTTGGTTGACATTCTGATTGTTTCCTGTTTCAGGTTATAAATAAAGTCACTAATATGTTCTTATGCATGGCCTTTCTATAAACAGGTTTTCACTTTTCTTATGTAAATATCTGAAAGAGTGGAATTGCTGCGTAGATATATGTTTACCCTTCTGAGAAATTGTCAGAGCTGGATGTGGTGGTGCATGCCTGTACTCAGTCCTAGCACTGCAGGAGGCTGAGGCAAGATAATTAATTGCAAGTGCAAGCCCAGCCTGGGCAACTTATGGACTTAGACCCTGTCTCAAAAAATTTTATTTTATTTATTTAATTATTTATTTTGGCTGGCTCAGGCTGCCTTAAGGGCAGGTCTGGTAAGGCAGGTGGAGGTGGAGTCGAACAGCAGTATCCTGCACCTGACTGCATTTGCATGAACAGGCGCTTAAACAACTGAGCTAACTGGCCAACCCCCCTAAAATTTTAAAAAGGGCTGGGATGTAGCTCATTGTGAAAGCCATAAGTTCAATTCCCAGCATCATCAACAGAACAAAACAAAATGAAACAAAATCTGTCAGGCCATTTCCTCAAGTGGTTGACCAAATTTGCACTGCTATCCACAGCACATGATAGCAAGTCCCTATCCTTGCCAGCATTCAATGCTGACAGTCTTTAAAGTTCGCTGTACTGGGGCAGGGCTGTGGGCATGTGGTGTGGCTGCTCTTGTGCCACTACCGCCACTGTGCTGTCACAGCTGGGCATGGACCCTACAGGCGAGTAGCCTCCAGTGCCATGTGGCAGAGTGGGGTCTGCAGGTTGCAAGAGGAAAAGCTGCAGGGCTCCCGCGTAGAGCTGCAATTCAGCAATCATGGGAACAGGAGTGGTGCTCCAGCTTCAGTTTCCACTTATAACGGTGATGTGGAAAAATTACCATGAGGTGCCTGGCAGGAGTCCGGGATAGTATAGCCCACTGACAGCCTCCCCTCGCTTACAGGCACCACACGCTGCTCATGGAGCTTCTGAAATGAAACACAGAGCACTGGAGAAAAGAACAGCTCTCAGCCCAAGGAGGATTATATTGAGAGAAGAGAAGCTGGAAGCATCTTGAAGAAAGCTCAGATTGGATAGGGGACTGGTCAAGTTGGCCAGAAAATGTACCCAGCAAGCTCTTTTTTATGCACCTGAAGGGCACAGCTCCTCTCAGCAGGAGAAGCAAGGAGGTTATGAAGAAAGGGGGCGTTTGCTCAGCAGAATTGTTCAAGGGTTTCCTTCCTCTCTGCTGCTGCCTTGTCTACTCGCCACTGGATCAGGATCTACCCTGGAAGGCTTCTGACTGCCTCCACCAGCCCGTTTGATGAAGACTCGGATCCAACTTGGCTGGCATGGAGGGCACTTGTGCCTGAGCTTGTGGCCACTGACTTGAAAAGCTGTCACCGTCACTGGGTGGCCTCACCACTGTTTTTTTTTTTTTTTTTTTTCTGTACATACTGAGTTCTTGATTAGTAAAGTGAAAGAATAGATACTAAAATCATGTTGATCTATAATTATACTTAAGGGATCAATTAACGAGCATGGCATACTATTATCCACCATAAGAATTTAGCAATACATTTTCTTTGGATATTAGATATAAACAGTATAAATAATTTTAATATACTGGTCATGATGTATGTAGTCTTTTAAAATGTCTAACCTTGATTCAGTAAGGATACTTTATATTTTAAACAATGAATCACTACATCACTGGGCGTGGTGGTGCACATGTATAATCTCAGCACTTGGGAGGCTGAGGCAGGAGGATGATCATGAGTTTGAGGCCATCGTGGGCTATAGCAGTGAGTTCAAGACAGGCTTGAATTAGACAATTAGATCTTGTCTCAAAAAAAGCTGAATTACTGCCGCGTTCCGGGGAACCCCCAGACCCAGTCCTAGCCCGGGTCCTGTGAGTGTGTGGGAGAGCTTCCTGCTACCCTGCGCCGGT